ACACACACACACACACACACACACACACACACCCTCTTTAGGACGGCAAGGTGATTGATAGTAACTATGGTAGTGAAATTGTCAACTTACTCTGAGTGTGTGTGTGTGTGTGTGTGTCAGAGTAAAGTTCAGAATGAGTAGCTAGATCAATGTGAAGTGCATCCTGCTGTCCATGTTCTATATGAGGTCACGTCAATGAAGTGATGCTACATGACACCGGGTCATACATTCAGAGATATTTATATTTGAATTTTTTACCTATATTAAACAGAACATTTTCATTTATATATATATGTATATATTTTATATATACCTATACAGATATTTTAAGGGGAAAAAAATAAAACATTTTAAAGTTCAAACTCATGGCCCAGGGGCCACTTTAGGCACGTGACTAGATGTCAGTAATTCACCTTAAAAGATTTTCTTTCAAATCTTTTTTTTCAATTATTAAGATGCTGTTGTTGGTTGTTTAAGAATTTTGAATGAAACTGTGTACTTGCTGTTTGCACTTGTCCAGTACAGAGTACAGTGTTGTACAGTATTTATAGTACACAGAACGCATTTTTTTATATATATCTCTAAGGTTTTTTATTGCACTCGAAGAAATAAACATTTCAGAAATGACGGTCATGAATCGCTAACGGGTCGTAGAACGTGTCATTTTACTAACTGTTCAAGAAATATTAGAAACGTAGTAGTTTAGAAATGTCTATATAACCAATTTTAAATCACTTGTTATAACACTGTATATTGAATATGACCTAGATTAGACATATTTAACAGTCATTACTAACCAGGTCAGGAGTGTTTACAGATGAGTAAAATACACCTCTGACCACCGATATACCGAGTCTTCTCAGCCAATGAGGTCAAGGTTTTTGCAGATTACAGGAATTGTCGGTCCAGTCCTTTAACGTACAGTAATTTCCAGCCCAGTCTGGTGGGCTTCATTGATGCTACCCTGGGGCAACATCAAACGTGCCTCAGACCCTTTTTTTCTTATGGGGATTCACGTTAACACCAATTTGATGTGGTGTGTGTTTGAGTCATTGGTACAAAAGGTCAACCACAAACCAAAAAGTCTTGCTTGCCCCGCTTGACGCAAAGCAAGTGCACCGGAATTAACACACACTGGCACACACAAACGCTCTCTCTCTCTCGCTCTCTCTCTCTCTCTCTCTCTCTCTCTTTCTCATACACACATGGACATACACACACTGCGCTGTCAGTCTCCATGCTAATCGATCAGTGCTGACAGATAGCAGATACACTCAGAGTCTTAATTAGAGGTCCCATTAGACCACACACACATAAACTCATCTAACTTGTAAATTTATTTATGCTTTTAGACGATTCATTTTGAGCAAATAAAGTAAAATTGCAATGAAAAATGTCTTAAATAAATCTCACTCTGTGTTACATTGTTAGGGATGTTGATGTGCCAAACGTCTGGGACAAACCATAAACATACATGACATATGAGCAGCCCACTGTGATGAACCTAAATGAATGGCACTTGTGTTGGAGGACAATGTCACCAAGTCATGAGACAATAGACTGAAGTCAAACTGTTGACTTTAGTCTAAGGACCAGTCGATCACACCTGCTTAAAAAACACTGAATGCAGGAAGTTAGAAGACAAGCGGCACTCCCAGCTGAACGCTCTTCTCAGTGTACACACACACAGACTCACACTAAACACACACACACACATACACATACACATACACATACACACTGTACTGCAGAAAGCGGTGCAGACGTAGGAACCATATTGACGAGTTACTGCTCAGACTTTCACTCTCTGCTGCCTTTCTTTCTGTCTGCCACTGTGGGTAGTGGACAGACAAGTGCACGAGTGCAACATCCACACAGACACACACACACAGAGAAATGGGAAATCCCCTGGGGCTGCGGAGACTGTCTTACCCTGGCCCCTGGTATGGAGCATCCGCCAAGGGAAGGGTGTGTGTGGGGGGTGGCCTAAATGTCAAAGGTAAAGGGTGCTGCAGAAGAAGTACAAAACATGCAATAGACCCACTCACACAGACTGAACAAAAAGTAGAGGAGGGGGAAGTCCAGTTCTCTCTCTGTTTTTTCCCAAACAAACTGCACAGACATTAGTTTTAGTTCGTTTAGTTTAGTTTAGATATTAGTTTATTGTCATCGCAGCAATGATGTTATTTTTACCAACTTTCAAGTAACACCTCCCACCCCCTCCAAAAAAAACAAAAAAACAAAAACAAAAACAAAAGGGAAAGGGAAAATAAAATGAACGCGTTTTTTTTATTTTATTTTATTTTTCCAGTAGCTCAGCAGGTAATTTCATTTCAATGAATTTACTTATGGTCACATTTCTTTTTATAGCAGTTTTACTAAAGCAATGAACAAAACCAACTAAAAACAGCAAACTGTCGAAAAGAAAATATTTCAACAAGTTAAAGCGATATAAACAACTTTCCTGGTTTGGACGTCATGCTTGTGGAACTCGGAAACAAATCCACAAAAACTATATTATTGTATAAAAGAAAATATAATAATAATATTATATTATTACCTTTTTTGGTTTATTATTATAATATTAACTACAAATATGTGATTTTTCATTTTAAAGTTGTTTTGCCAGACTTTGATCCTTTGATAGAAAACAAGGAACACGTGATGAGGAACACTCTTCGGTTCTGGTGCTGGCGGTGGTCGGAAACTTTTTGTGGATGCACTAGGGATAGTGGTGTTGTTTACAAGCAAAGCTTGTGTCAAACAAAACCGAAATAATTAAAAAGTTACAGTAGCCAAGCAACAGAAGCATCCAGCAGAATGGAGGATAACTACAGGACACAGCGAAAATAAAACATTGTATTTCTTTGACTGGTAAGTGTCGCCGTCTGTCCTTCGATGTTTGTTTTCCCCCGAGAGTGAGTTTTGCTCCGAAAGTGAACAGCTAATAACACTGTGAATGTAGAACATGAACCACAAACAACACCACAGTATAAGATGATATAACATTCAGTTTGTGTCCGTTTGTGTATTAATAAATGTCAATGTTAAACCCCGTGTTCTTTGTAATGCTGCTGTTTTTGTTGGTCAGTTTGGTCAGCGTCTGTGGTGTCGTCGTTGAGATTAATAAATTGGAAACCGATTAAAGTTGTGTTGTGTGAACTTTTTGTTTAAGAACAAATCAGCGTAATCGGTGGTTAGCGGTGAATTCCACAGCAAAGACTGAAATTGAAAAGTGAAATTGAAATCGTCTGAGGCAAATCACGGTTCTGACTCCGCTACGAAACCTAGGAAAACGCCTTGCTGGTGATATTGACCAATGTCAGACTCTATTGGAGGTATCAGCTGTGATTCAACATGGTGTCAAATCAACTTTTCTTTGACACTGCCTTGGCGTTGTATATCTATGTTTTCTCTAAAATTGACAATATTTGAAGAGTTTAACAAAATCAATAAACGTGCACTGTTATGATGCTGGAATTGTTGTGACACGTGAACAAAAATGTATTCCAACCTAATTTGGGAATTAGCAGAATACTTTTGGTCCTGCCTGGAGTTTATGATTTAGTGAAGTTTTACTGTTGTTTTAAAAAAAAAATTAACTTATTGCTTATTTTATTTTTATTGGACAAGGTTTTTTTTTAACTTTGCTTATTTTATTTTTATTGGACAAGGATGTCTGTAGTTGATAGATGCTAAATCTTTTCTTTGTTTCAGAGTAAATATTTCTGATTTATGTGCACTAATGAATTCTTTATAATTTAATTTTGACTGTGTATGTTGGCACAGATAGAGTGGAGCAGGCCGGGCAGGTGCACTGTGTGTGTTTACTTGGCAGCGTCGACTGCGGGCACTCACTGGGACACATGGCAGATGAAAGCAATAAGCTGACACTGAGGAGGCTGGAGGCCCCCATCCACAAGTTCATTAATGTGGCTCTGCCCACAGACTTGGAGCGACTGCAGAAGCATCACAATAACATATTGAAGGTGACGCCTCAAACTTGGCGACGTGATCTCATGTACGCACTTCAATACTCTGGTCAACAAATGGACAACCAATACTTTCTCTCTCTGTACTTTTCACAGTACCAACGCAGTAAACAATGGGACCGCCTTCACAAGGAGCACATCAACGCCAGCAGGACTGTTCAGGTATGACAGTAACGAAACACATCACTCCCCAACCTACCCTCCTCTTCTTTGGAATTTAGTCAGGCATAAATATGTGTAATATTTGTATTACTAATTTCAAATAAAAGCCAACGCAGTTTTTTCACTCAAGTGCACTATTTAAAAAAAAAAATCTGTAAAATGTTGAAATAAATAACTTAGCTATAGATTTGGGGTTTTTATCTAAGTTTGAGAATGTGAACCAACTTCCTGAAAAAATGTGTGTGATATTATATATTCATATATTCAGAGTTGTAGCTGTAGTCATCAAAGGTATCTTGACACCATGTCACTGTCCAAATAAGACATTCTGTTACATATCCGTAGGGACACGCCACCAAATATTACAGTCAGACGTCTGCCACAAAACCACATAACAATGTCTCCTGTGCCAGCATGTGTGGGTTGCAAAGCCTTACACTGTGAATTTCCCCATTGTGAAAAGAATCACGGACTTGTTTTTTGGGGTTTTTTGTCAAATGTACTACATATGACTATACCTGATGCTACGTAACCAGTGAGGTTGAGGTAAAATAAAAAAATAAATACATTCTTTGTATTAAAATTCCTCGCCTATTCTAACACAGTCAGGACGAAGAATCAAAACCAAACCACCGCTGTCTGTGAGTCCGTCTGTATGTGCTAGTACTTGTACTTGTACTCGGTCACTCTGTCAATGTGAGAAAGTTCTCGGGGGATGTTGTTGCCTGGAAGCCAGTGAGTGTCTCTGTAGGTGAATAACTCCAAAACAGAAAACAGACACACAGCCATCCTCTCACCATTACTGCACAGATCCCAGGGAAACACTGGCAGAGTGCTTTCTCGTGTCTTCATGGTGTTACTAGAGACCAGGGGCTTCTCTGTGCTAATTCACATGTCCTGTACTCACTGTCTGTGTGTGCACTTGTACCTGTGTTCCATAGAAACATGGAGTGGGGAGAGAGGGCGTGTTTGAATCGGGATCGTTAGACCGCTGTACTGCCTAGTTTTCATTATGGGTTGGACAACTCACTGTTGTCTCTCCCTTTAAGTTGATTTCCAATGTTGCTTTCATTCACTGTAACTCACTGGTTCCAAACTTTTTTTGGTTTATGACCCCATTTTGACATCAAGAATTTCTGGCCACCTCGAAGACATTTTTATTTTATTTTATTTGTTATAGTGCGTGGCAAATATACAGTAGTGCACAAAGTACTCGAAGGAACTGAAGTAGCTGTCGTTTGAGCAGTAGCTGTCAATCAAGCAGCCAGATCAGATATAGTTTTGTATGCTCCATTTCATTTGAACTGATTGTGTGTGTGGTGTTTTTAAACCTAATTTTAAAAATAATATGAACGAGTGGAAAAATTAATTGCAAGACATTTCAGGTGACCCAAAATTGTAAAAACACTACTGTAACGGCAGCTTTATTTGCTTTTCTTAAAATATTTTTTTCCCTCAACCCCACAAAAGAAACGACTGGTTTATTGTGTTCCAGCTGTAAACTATAGAACAGACATAGATATAAGATAATAAAATACAATTTATGATAATAAAAGATAATAAAAGCCAACTTAATAAAAGCCAACTTCTAATTGGGAGGTAATAAGTCCAGGTAAGTACCCCCACAAATTAGAAGCCAACTTCTAATTGGAAGGTAATAAGTCCAGCTAAGTACCCCCACCTCACCTTGAGGCTGGGGGATTCAGTCACTGCTGATGTTTCATGAATGTCTACTGTTGAGTTTGTGGTTGTTTGTTGGTTGTTCTTCCAAAGACCAACAGACACAGTTCATATACAGACTGACAGGTGACTGACCCGCCTGTCAGGCGGTTTAATCAGTATGTCTTTCAGCTCCACACATTTGAGCACGAGCGTATGCATGTATGTATATTCATGTAGTGTAATTAGCAGTGCGTGTTATCGGCAGCCTGTTGACCCCCTGAGCCTGGGCTGTGCTGCCGCCTGGAGGGCTGATGGCTGGGGTGTAATCCTCCTGTCACCCTCAGGGCACGAAAGGATGAGGGGACTTGTTTTCTCCTGCCTGATATCTGAACCTCATTAAGAGCCGCCACCAAAGTACACACCCATGGACACGCACAGACACACTCACACCTGCACACCAACTACTAGAGTACTCTCTGTCTTTACTAATTGAGAATCAGTAGAAATAAGGATGATGTTTCCGTTGGGTATGTAATCGCTCATACTAACTAACTAGATTAACTAATTACTAATTAGAATACTTTTATGAAGTGGACTCAGTCAGTCATCATTTCTAAAGCTATCATTGAATTTAAAAATAAAAGAATAAGTCAGTGAATCTAAGTGTTCGTGTTGGGGAGTATTTGTCAAAAAGTGAGCCACAGACTTTTGCAGAAACAGGAGTCGTGCCAACAAGGATTCATCAGTCACACGGCAACAGTCGTCAATCAGTCTTCTGTCTTTTTGCATGCCATGTTTTTGTATGTTTAGGGATTAGGGATTATTAAAAACACAGCAGGAAAAACAAAACTTGCAGGTGCACTTGAGGGATTTACAGCATGAGTTTCCAGGTGTATTTGTATTTCACAGCTTAGTAATTGACTTTAAAATCCAAAGTACAAACTGCAGTTCCAGAAAAGTTGATACACTTCCAGCAAATTAAATGAAAATGTAGTGAAAGTTACTGGAGTTCAGGATTACTCGGAAGCAAAAGGAAACCTTATATTTGGCAAAGCAGGATGTTGGACTCTTATTATTACTATTATTACTAAAATCCAAACTGGTGTCAGTGTATGAATTCTCCTCTGTCCCACTGCAGCAGCTGAGAGCTAACATCCGAGAGATGGAAAAGCTGTGCGCTCGGGTTCGTCCAGAAGACGCTGATGCCCTGGAAATGCTGGTCAGGCCGGTGAAGGAACAGGCAATGAAGGCCACAAAGGACTTCTTACATTTGCACTCGAACCCAGTGCCCCAACCCACACCACCGCCATCACCTCCACCTGCTGCTCAGGCTTCCAGCGGTTTCCACTGTGATGACGATGTCGGAGAGACACCGGCCTACGGCAGACAAATCCAGCT